GAGTATCATAAGAATCTCCTGAGAATGATTTTTGCCCTGTGTTTTATTTAGTTACTGTGCAAGCAAATACATCCTTTCATTCAGGGCATTTACAGCATCTAGTCCAGGAGAGCTGAAGCCTTTGAATGAGATCTCTTGGTACTGCCAACTATAAACAACAATTAGAGACAGCAGCCACTAATTTCACATCCACAATTATTTGTACGTGCAAAGTGAACTGTGTTCCCCGTGAGATATAGGAAGATTGAAACATTTTCATTTACATGTTCAGATAACACTGAAAGCAGTTGTTGAGAGGTGTGCAAGTACCAGCCAGACTGAGGCCTCTTAAAATCAAGAAATTTAAAATAATGGCTTGCAAAAACTGGCAGAGCAGGGGCCTGAATGAGTGTAGAGCTGATGCTGTTTTATTGCTGTGCTGCGCAGCTCGTGGTCAGCGCTCTCTGCAGCACCCTCTTTATCCTGGTCCTTCTCTTAAAACGATTGTTAGCTAGCAATGTGTGCAGGAATCAAGTTCGTGAAGCCCTGACAAGATATTTAGTCCTACAGATTGCACAGTATGAGTGTGTTCTTTGAGACTATAATTTTTCAAGTGATATTTCATCATCGTGTATATGTGCATATGGTTGGTTCTACATACGTAACGATAGCCACAAAAACAATGAAGGGAAACATATGCTATGTGCTGGAATTTTGTCTATAGCATATTGTGGCAAAAATGGTGCGCCTTGGTGAATGTGGTGTACTGGTGACAAACCCTTTCATTAAGCAAAATGTCCATATGGTACAAAATGCTGCTGTTCTGCTTGTCTGTTCTGCATACACATTGTACCTCCTCTTCTTTCTGGTACTGTGTGATGGTGGGAAAGGTAGAAAGTTCATTAACATAACATTGCTGATTTATAATGCCAGTTTTGGGTTTTGGTGGATAAATGTTTGAATTCCTAAATAATTGTACTTATGATTTTTCCTAGAAGTGTATTGATGGATTATGCCTTAATATGTAGATTTGTAACTTTGCATTTGCAAGGACAAGTATGAAGACTGGGCTGGAGGTTGGTCTTGCATATTCTATGGAAGAAAAACTATAAAAATATTACTTACATTCCTCACAGGTGAATAAACCTCATGCATGGATGAATCTAGTTAATTCAAAGGTTTAATAAACCTAGAATCCCAATGAGGCTATAACAAATCCCCCTGGTGTCTTGGAGTTATGAGAAAGATGTGTAAAATTATATGCAGGTAGAAGAGCTCTCTCTAAATCTGAGGAGTCTTTTGCACTTTTTTTTGGTTATATTCACTACATGAAATAACTCCTTTTCATCTGTGGCTTAGTCATGATAAAGTATTAGGTCAATTATTGTGAGAGGGCAATGTTTGGGGTCAGTTTCAGTCTGTCTGTCTCTCTCTCTTTTTTTTTTTTTTTTTTTGATTGATTGTTTTTTGAAAGCGTTCTCCAGCCCATTAGATGCATCTGTCTTAATGTCCCTTCGAGAAGGATGGCTAGCTTCAAAAGGAAATTTCTGACAGCTCCCTTGTCAGGGAGCTGCACCGCATCCTAAGCCGCAGCATCTTCCGTTGTTAAACCTGTGTGGGTCCCAGATCAGAACCAAACGCTCTAGTTAGAAACGCAGGAGTTGCAAGCTAAGACTGACTAATTGAGCAAAACAGCTAAGAAATAAATTTGCACAAGTTTAACTAATTATGAATGCTAGGTTTCACGTCATAGTACTCTGAACTATAATCTGAACAACCAAGCAATGTGGAGCCAGGTTGATTCCAGCATGCCAGACCTTCCAGGACAGAAATATTACACAGGAAATGATAATTCAG